TGTAAGAAAACCTTTCTTTGGATATCAACGCTTTCAACACCTTGACCTTACCTTGGCCGTAACCAAGGGTGGTGCAAGGGTTGTCTATGTCAGACGTTTTTTTTATGGAAATGCTTTACTTTAGGTACCAACGTATTTGATCTGCATTTGAGAAAGCTTAACCTTCGCCATGTTGCCATTTGGTGGCATCAGTGTTTCACAAACACATCTTGTTATTGCATGTTGTTGTTTCTTAGGGGGTTCTAAGACGTAAACCCCATAAACCTGGCTATATATGTAATAATAAGGATATGGAAATAACGAACAGTATTCAATCTCAACGTCCATTAAACAAATATACAAAACAAGAGCAGACCTCCGTAAACCCCATAAACCTGGCTATATATGTAAACAACTAATTCATAACATGCTTTCATTTTTATCACACGCGTACATTAACAAAAAAATAATTTTGTGAAATTTCTCTAATTTGTATTTGATCAAAAAATTGATACTCTTTCATCAAAAGTTATGTACGTCATATTTAAACACCTTTGATAAAAAGTTACATCGTTATTTTATCTATTTATTTTTTTTTTTTTTGCTTTCTATGAATCTGATTTTAAAGTCTAAATAAAGAACACTGCACATCAAATCTGGAAAATATTTTTCTGCAGTGTTTCAAAATTGTTTATTTCTAATTTCACCTATACACATTATATTCCTTTGTTATTCAAAATGAAATAAAGTTCCTCTTAGGTTTGCTTATGCTCGTTAGAAAATATTCTATTGTTACATGTACCACGACGCAAAAAAGAGAATATTTTCCATTCAAATGTCTACCGAAAATGGATACAGCGGATGAAATATATAATTTTTAGAGCATTCAGGATGTAAAGCAACAACTCATACTGTATCGCTGGTGTTACAAATTTGAAGATTATAAAAAAAATTTTCTTGTCCATTTCTGCAGAAGTTGATCTCAACGGTTCATTTGCATTTCGTGCCAATGTTTTGACATTTGACGGCAATGAAAGACTCATTTTTGATAATTGGACACCAGTGACGTATCAGAAATGGAATCCAAACGAAGACGGCGAGACGGCAGTTGACCCAATCTTTGGCCTCCTTTTGACTTATCATAACGACGGTAGGTGGCGCTGGGTGACTGAAAGAAACAACACGTACTATACAGGAGACGGACTAAAACTTCCCTTTATTTGTGAGGATTCTCTATTTTATTTGGAGCATGAAGAGTGTTCTGTTACATAATGATTCATTCTCTTTTAATTAGAATAAACATTTGCAATCATTATCTTTTGTTATATAATTTCATTAAGTATGGTTCTAAAATTTTAAATGGAGTATTCTTAAGTTAACGTATATTCATCTCCTCGGACGTCATCTAGATTTATCCTCGGATCGTATATCCCTCTCCTTGAAAGAGATTTAGATTTATCCTCGGATTGTATATTCCTCTCCTCGGAAGAGATCTAGATTTATCCTTGGATCGGATATTCGTCTCCTCAAAAGAGATCTGGATTCATCATCATGTTTTAAATAAGCTATAAATAATATGTACACAAAGACAGCCTGTACAAAAAAATTATTAATTTCTATCAGTTATCCAAAACATAAGGGGCATATATATTTGGCTGTGACGGTCGGTCTATCTCTCTGTTTGTGATCGCAACTAGGTTAAGGGCTACCCGAAGGAAGAACAGTGTATGCAGAGCCTCGGGAATTCGATTATGACGTCACGGTGAAATTGTACAAATGAATCTCGGCGATTAAATAATAATTTTCTTTTTCATATACTCTTACATACTTTGATTTCTCATGATTATTGTTAATATTAATAAATGTGTAACTTATTTTGTCAGTATAACCCTTATCGAATGTATAATCAAAGCCAACATGATCTCGCTGTACTAATAGATCTCTTGGCTAGTTTGACACGCAGTTTCCTGTATTGGACATAAAGCTATTTTAAAAAAAATTTTAAATCTTTATAAGCGTGATTGACTACAATTGATTCATATTTTTGAATTCATTAATCAATATTCACAGTCTTTTTAATTGATAACTATTTTCATAATTACTGGACTGTTGCTGCTTATATGTTTTATAAAGCCGCAGTCATGCACTTTTATATAGAAACGTACTACAATCACATGTACAACCCCTCCAAAATCTCAAAAGTTCAACGATATCCACTTGATTATTAATTATAATGTTTTATACACATGCAGATACTGTCCCTTCTATTTTGAAAAGTGCTGGGAGCAAGTTGTGCGCTGTTGATTTTTTCCGTAGTTTTACATTTCTTCAATGCGTATAGTGTAAATGCACATACTTTATCAAATGTCGGCTAAATTTTATATAATTACCGGGCAGTGAGAAGTTGCTCCCAGCACTTTTCGGGTTAAGAAATTTGTCTTAAATGAAACACAATCAATTTTATAGTGAAAAATTATCCGTATATCGTTGAACTTTTACGATCTTTGTATCAATACATATTTTTTTCTAATTTTAAACATGTCACGTGAAATTTTTCTTACTGATATTACATGAACCTTGCGTTGGCCGAACTTGGTTGAGTGTTTTGAAATTAAAAAAAAAACACACAACATTCATATGCATTAGTATATATATATTAAATCTAAAATAATGCTAATAAAAAAAATATTAACATTATATTGATTTTTTAAATGGCTGAATATTAAAAGGCCTATTTCCTATGGGCGGCCTTAACCTAGCTGCGATTTTTCCTGATTTATCTGTAAGTGGGGAAGTCAAATAGCTTTGACTACGGGCGTTAATCGGTTCGTTCTATGCATTTCATATTTCACAGGTGTATATAAGACGAAAAGACCTATCCTTGTTTTCAATTTTTTCCCTTTATTTTGACTTTCAGTGAGAACTTAAGCCTTGGTCAAATGAGCTATGGCTTTGATGTTTCTCTGATGTATTCCATATGTACAAGTATTTTTGACTTTGATCTTTATGATTGACTCATGTTTAAAGAAATTTTCAAAATTTTATTCATAGCCGTAGCTATTACACGGTTAAATCAAGTAATATCATCCTCTTCACCCTTATTTTTTGAGTATAAACTGTAATGGCCTTTAACCTTGATTTTATGGATTTTACGTACTTTTCAAAAACGTAAACTTTGGACGTATTTACTGAATCTTTAGTGCTAGGGGTTAGCTTTTTTACCGGTTCATTTCCTGTGGTAAGAGCTTTTCCTTTTTTTTTTTTTATAATTTTATCTTTTTATTTGGACATCAGACTTTAACCACCTTTTGAAAAAAAAAACTTTGGTTATAACTTTTGAATGGTTGATTTCGTGACTTTTATATTTCACCTGTGTATTCTTTCTGAAATTCTTTTGGACATCATTAATATTGACTCCTTGACCTTTTCCAGTTTGACCTACTTTTGAAAATCTCTAACTTTGGTCATAATTTATGAACTGTTGCTGCTTATATGGTTTTATTTTAGAAGGTAGACTTATTGTGAGGAACGTTTATTTTGGTACCAAAAACTACCTTTCTATTGACCTTGGTGTATGACCTGCAAACGACAACATTTATCATAACCCTCTTTGTTTCACAAACTTTTCTTGAATTTTTATCATTAGCTCCTAACACTTTTCCTATAGATTTAATAACGAATTTCAAGTTGTAGTCTATCACATTTTGGATATACTAGTATATAAACCATCGTATACACATTGCATAAGGGAGAATGACTTTACACACATATTGAATCTTTTTTTGAAGATGTAGTCTCATAATTACAAAAGTTTTAGCAAACATATTGATTAATGTTAGCTTTTTTTTTATTTGCAAAAGCAGTTGCAAATATAAGATAACATCTTTCAAAAAATAATGAATAGGTGCTCATTTTTTTTCTAACTCCTTATCTTGTTTTGCTTTGATTTTCTTTGATTTGATTTTTTTCTAACTTACTTATATACTTATAAGATTTGTGGCCTCAAAATAAAACGCGTAACTATTACAAATGTAACCTTTTAATCCCCGATCTGTGTTAGAGTGTTTTGAAATTAAAAAAAACACAATAAAAAATTACAGTCAATATAAAAAAAAATCTATCTTAATTTATCTTAACATCTTTATTTCAATGAAACTTGTGTTATCAGACACGCACGGGGAACAGATTAAAAATATATGTTTTGGAATAAACAAGATGTAATATTGCAGTGTGTAAAGATCATTGAGATCATTATAAATGACAAATGAAAATAAATGGCTGAAATCAAAGTAAAGAGTATTGCATGTGTCAGATTAAACAGGTTCCACTGTAATAGATTTAACAATAAAGTAATCGTCATCTTAATTCTCCGTCCAGTTATCTCCATTTATCAGTGTTTGAAAAAAAGAACGAAATATTTCTATTTTCAAATTTATTACAATACATATAAAGTACATCTTTTACTGAATACATTCAGTATCGCTTTACAGAGCAGTTCAACTCCTTTCTTTTACTGTTTGTTACTTGATGTTGATGTAATATTCAAAAAAAAACTCAGCGATAAAAATTAATTTAAAATCGTCTGTTGAGGGTTTCCATAATCCATGGATGATCTTTCGTCTGTAAAAAAAAAATAAATCAATACTTTATAGATAAATGTATAATAGCATATTTTTATTCTATTTCCAAAAAAAGCAACTTTTATGATTGAAAATTTCAGATTGATACAAAAAAAAAAAAAATGGATATTAAGATGTAATGATGTTTACCTAGTGACGTCTGACCATCATGGTGGTCCCTTTCACTGATGTCCCACTCGTTACTGTGGGATACCATAGCCAGGAATCCGGAGACCAGGGGCCGTTAAGGAAGGCGTCGGCACAGTAGTTGAACCACCAGCCTCCTCTACGGGTACTGTAAATGCAAAGTTACCATCAATTTTCTTTATCTGTGTCCGTAATGTAAAATCAAATTATTTTCATAACAGACAATACTAAATTTTGATAATTATATATGGAAAATCATGTGTAACATAGAGTCACCTGTAAAATTATCAATAAAAATTCAACATGAACATGTTAAAAACACATCAGCAGGGTTATATTTATAATTCGTGACCTCTTCTTTAAGGAGAATGATTCATTTGAAGATCGTAGTAAAATAAATCGTATTTAACATCCTGTCCCCTGTAAAATCAAACAAAAAGAATCACAAAGTTAATTGATTTATTTATTTTTCAATCTAATAATACTGAGGTACATCCAAGATAGACGGCTTTAGGTGCTGGAAAAGGCAATAATATTTATTTAGTTCTGTCATTGAATCCCCAATATTTTAATACTGGCACCTGCAGATTTAGAATCACAACAGATAACAGAGATATTAGTTATTAATTTATATCACATTGATTTTAATATTGCAGTACGTCTGAGTTACGCAGTTTAACGTTGTGTGAAAAAAACTACACAATTCACATGGCATCCTTTCTAGTGTAACAATAAACAACAGACATGATAAACTTTCAAGGTATGGTATCATTTGGGGCGGGGGGGGGACACTGAAAATTTTAGGAAGCATGACAAAATGAAATTCTAATATTTTTCCGAGACAATGAAACAGGTATAACATGTAATACTACGTAAATCATTAATAACGAAATCAGATATGGTGTATCGCTGAATGTTTTAAGATGATTAATTTCCTGTTCAATAAATGTAAATTTGAAACGCATTGAGATATTTTGAATTTGGCTTTTTAAGCTTTTTTTATTTGAATATTTATCCAACATTTTTTTTTATCATCAAATTTTCGTAAACCTTTCGACATTTAAGATTAATGACGCACTGTAAACTTCCTATTCCGTAGTAATAATAAATGTGAATCATAGGAAATCAGAATTTTTTAATGCTCTGTAAACTTTTTCCGTATCAAATGTTAATTATCAAAAATCAGGAAACGCAAGCTGAATAACAATGTTGAACAAATGTAATTATTGGATATAATTGTTAAAAAAAATTACATAATTATCCTTGTACATAAAATATTTAATTAAAAATTTAATCTTCTTGACAATAACAAATTCAATATCTGCTGAATACGTAAATGGTACCTGCAAGTGATATTCTGAAATGTTTGATAAGCGTGGAATCAAAAACGTATACAAAATATCAGAAAAAAACATCTTTCTCTTTTTTTCAACATTACTTTATAATCTGTCAAACAGAAAATGTATTATTTAGTGATATACGTAATTTGAACCTAATTTTAAGAAATTAACCTGCATACACTGACCTAAAGTTCCCGTTGCAGGTCCTGCAAGAAAGAGTTGATATTTTCCTGCTGCGTCGGAGACAGAGAATTGGTTGTACATTTCATACAGCGTTGTACCATTCTGGAGAGTGATGGATACATACAGAGAGGAGGAGTTGTCTTTTGTTAATTTATGGATTACGTCATTTCCTGTAATAAAATATATTTGAAATCATCTGAAAAATTCATCGAATACAATTAATTTTTTTCAAATATATGAGAATCTTCCGTAATGAAAAATAAAATCATTTTCCATAGCTGTAGACAATATTGCTAAATTTTGTCTAATTAGTATATGCCGATAAATGATATTATTCTTTTCTATTTTTTTATTTTTTGAAATATCAATAAAACACGATATCTGAATATCGTAGAACACACATTACCTGGTCTTAACTTTATATTTTTTTTAATCTTAAAACTTTGAAGGACTAAAAAGTTCTTATTTAAAACCGATTTACACTTACCAATCCAGACATCCTTTTCTGGAGAACCAAAGCCATTCTTATAATCCATCCAGTTCCTGTCAAAGGTAACGGATCCGTCTACGCGTTTCTGAATTGCCTTCAAAAATTAGCATACATTTCATTTCAATTTATTGCTTAAAACCTTCATAGGATCCATTTTTTTATGACATAAACTACAATACAATCCTACAATACCACCAAAACAAGGTGTGCTAGATTCAGTATTTTTAAAATTAAAAAACCTACTGTCCATCCACCGCCCATTGTGGTCATGTCGCAGTAGACACTTATTGGAATGGTTAATGTACTGTAGGGGTATATATCATACACCCCTGTGATGGTTTGTCCATTTTCCTGAAGATCCTTACAATCTTTGGGTATGCTAGAAAAATCTATAAAAAAATACAAGAAACTTGAAAATAAAAAGCCTGTCCCCTAGAGAAGGACCTAAAAATTAAAAAAGATAAGAGATTAAAAACCCCCAAATATACATACCGTTATCTGAGTAGTATCTCCACCCTGCCTCCTCAGAGGTACCCGACGTGAATGGTTTCTTGTGGGTACGGCATTTCTTCGTTTTAGGATTAAAGCCAAAAAAGACGCATTCCCTTTGACAGATTGTGGCGCAGTCGATCAATGAATGAGTATTATGTTCACCTAAAAGTTCACTGTTTGACTTCTTATCATTAAATTCGGGTTTCGCTGTATATTTCTTAGAAATAAAGGTAGCTTTAGATAAAGCCAAGAAGCCTACAGTTAAAGTGATAACCCACTGATAGCTCATTTTCTTTGTTGCGCAAAATTCTGCTGCGTTTTTACGAATCTGTGAAATTCTGCTAAATGGTTTTTCAACAGCCAGGTATATATATCGTAACTTAATCGATATCTGAAAAGTGATTGGCTAACTGTTACGTCTTCTATATCTCACTATTGTTTAAGGATCGATTTTATTGAAATTCATATGAATTTTCATTAATTGTTATTAACGTTCAGTTTGAAATTGCAATTTAAAATAAAACACTGAAAGTTTTTCTGTTTTTAATTTAGTCAATGCTTGTCATGTTTTGATGTTGCACAGAGTTTTTTAATGAGCTATCTTAAAAATATGTAATTTTGATATAAATTTACCTTTATCAACTCAAACTGAATAAAATTAGAAACCATTAATTTTGTTAAATTCAAAGTAGAAAATTATCTGACTTTAAGACATTGTTAAGAATTTATTGATTTACATCAATTTTGACACATTAGCCTCTAAATGTTAATGTTACACTATGCATCATCATTGGTTAATTTACTTTTGAACCATAGAGAGAAGTACATTTGTAAAATACAGTTATCAGAGTGTTCTTTTAGATTGCTTTTAAGAGAGTTAAAATTAAAAAAAAAATAAAAAAGTACTACCGATAGATGTTAAAAAAAGAATCGCAATACGTAGTTTAACAGATATTATAATTATAAACAATAAAATGTCTTTTTTAGTTGCTATATGTACATGTCATATGGTACAGGAATGAATGTTACAGCTATTGCAAAAAATTATATAACCCAAAATGTGTTTTTTTTTCACCATGGCAACTGATTCCACCTCTGATGTCGCGGATGTCTGTATTTCCTCTGCACATATTTTGTATTATTTTTGGACTTTGATATTTTACACCGTTCGTTATCTTTATATCCTTCATTGGTTCACATTCAATTTCAGACAATATACAATAATAGTATGATACCCGCTGCAATATTTGACACTTTTATGAAGAAAACTCCCTTATGACAAAACAACTGAACTTGGAAAGTGAAAATAGAATTCCAAATACCCGAAAAAAACAATGGAGATCAACCTGGAACTTCACATTCTGGAATTAAATAAATCTTTCTTAGTACACTGATACTGCACCATTTTATATTGAGCCAAAGAAAGCGAAGGTACGTTGATATCAAAGAAGCATTAGACAAATACTTCCTGTATAAAATATTTACTAGTCAGAGTAAGTAAAGTAAAGTAAGTAAATAAGTTATTATAGTAACATGTGTATTGTTACAGTAATACAATAAATTTTACCACAATAAATTGAGTTTCTTACTTCCGGTCCAAAGGATCGTCATTTCACTGTTGATATTTTAACAATTTTTATATATAAAACACATAATGAAGATAAATGATATTAGAATATTTTTTGGAGACGTTCTGGTGATTTTGAAAAGCATCAAATATAATTTGCAGAATGATTGGGAAACAAATAATATCTGAAAAAAATGAAGCATCTTTAGACAGATCTGAAAAATTTCCTATTTTACAAAAAAATGCTATCCTTTAATTTCATATCATTTACAATTTAAAAAAAATGTTTTTCATTTCAAATTTCGTTATTCTTACAAAATTGGCAAATTCTATCTTGGAGTGACCCAGATTCATAACGTCTGGTGGTAATACACTGCAACGAAACATTGTCATGGCTATCTTATTGGTTTTGTCAAATCCATATAGTAGTGTTATCCTCCGATTCGTATTGATTTTTAAAGAGTCGGTAAGTTTTTATTTTGGGAATTGTTTGTAAATTTTCAAACCACTGTGTTTTGATCTGATGACAGAGGAGTCTTTTGGCAAGAGTAATATTTAGCAAAGTTTTTCAAAAAAGAATAGAAAATTTAGAATTTATTCAAAGAAAGATATGGAAATAACGAACAGTATTCAATCTCAATGTCCATTAAACCAATATACAAAATAATAGCAGAGCAAACACAGACCTCCGAAACATCAGAGGTGGGATAAGGTGCCATGGAAGAGTGAGCATCACCTGCCAACCGGTCACATCCGCCGTGTGCTCGTTGTCATAATCAGGAAATAACAGAAAAAATCCGTGGTCAATTCAGAGTATAAATAATGGACTAACAATTGGTATGAAAAACGTCAGTCAGCACTTCATTTAATGATAAATTGTATTTGCTGACAAAGTCATTGTATCGACCATAGAATTTACGAAATGATGACTTTAAACAAGACTGTTGATATTCTTGTTTCATTAACTTGCTTTTCAATGATTTACCTCGTTTAAAAAATTGTTCATACGTAGAGCATGCTCTTGCATATCGAATCAACTGAGATATAACTACTCCGTATGCAGGTGATGAAAGTAAGGGAAATTGACGATAGAAAATTTAAAGTCATCACGTTTATCATAGAGCTTGGTTGTTAGATTACCATAAGTGTCTTTTTCAAGTAAAATTTTCAAGTATGAAGCAGAAGTGTCGGACTCTGTGGTATCTTTTATATCAAGTTCTAATATATCGTCGAGTTGAAGGAAATTATCATTATTAATTGACAAGTGTTATATCTTATCTTTTGAAGGCCACAGCAAAAGATTTTGCATAAATTCTGCTTCATATGCATATAAAAATAAGTCTGCTAATAACGTAGCGCAATTTGTACCCATGAAAATTCCAATAGATTGTTGGAATACCTGGTCTCCAAAAACCACATAGATATTGTCGATCAGAAACTCAAGCATCTTCTTGATGTCGACTTCAGAGTACTTATGTGTGCAATCAGAATCTGTTTTAACAAAATAATTTTTTCAAATGACCATTGACGAGGTAAGTAAATTTACGAGTTCTATTTTTGTTGAAGAAGCAGCTGTCAATGATATACAAAAACCCTGGATTTCAATTTGTCGTGGGGAATTGTTGTGTATAAAGTTGAAAAGTCGTAAGTTTTTAAATTGTAAAAATGTTGATTAATTTAAACACATTTTGTATTGAAGAAAAAGAAAACAAACAAATATATATCATATATTATCGTGTAATTTTGTTTAGTTGTTACATTTTTTTTTTTCGTTTTTACTTCAAAAAATAGCTAATTCAATATGAATTACTAATATAATTTAACATCCTGACCCATTGATAGCCATATTTAAAATAAAATAATTTCCAAATGAATCTAACACGATTCTTTTATGAAAATCACACGTTTTGCACATGATTCTTACACGAAAGTCGCAAGTTTCTCACACGATTCTCGATCGCACACTCGTTACACGGTTTGCGCGAAACGTTTTGTAGCTTACACGAAACGCTGCACGGTTTAAACGAAACGTTGCAAGGTTTGCACGAAATGCTGCACGGTTTACATGAAACGCTACACGCTTTTTGGGGGTAATAACACGTCTCAGGATCTGTATATATTGTATTTATAGATGACGTACTAGTAATGAAATATGTATCATAACAAGAAATTAGCTTTTATTTGGATTATAAATATGCATCAATTGATGTTTAGCATGAGGCAGAGTGCGTGTGTATATAGCTGAATGAAAATGTGCTATGATTTAATTCAAGTTTTCCCCAGTTTACAATAGTATACAATAGTATACAGTTATGGAATGGGTACGAGGGAAATTTCAAATTAATGGTTCCTAGAGTGATAATACTATTTTTGGAGATGGCGTAACCGCCGGAGGAAATAGATTCCTGGTGAGTGGAGCAATAAATTTGCTTTTCTCCGACTACCTATTCCATAACTTCTTTATTATACCGAAACAATCAAAGGCAACATCTTTAATTCGACATTAAAAAAATCTTGAGGCATTATCACAAATGCAGTTTAAAAGATTGTATGATAGCTAATGCATCATTTTTAAAACAAAACTCTTACATCCGTGAGAGGAAAGGGTGAGTCATAAATTACAAAATCATGCATAAAAAGAGCAATGCAATTATACCAGTCAAAAGTATTTTCACTGACATTTTAAAAAAAATATCATAGCATTCATTTTACTGGAATTCAAACATGATTTTGATATCACATGTCGAAATGTTTTGATGCCATAGTTACACTGCTAATAACATTACATCAGAGACTTGAAATTCCTTTAACGCCCCGACCTCTAAACAGAAACTGAAATTAGTTATAAATATTTCTGATGGGTTAGTCCCAGGGAGTAGCTCTGAATTCTCAAGGAGTAGTCCTAAAAAAAGGGAAATATCGGTAGTCTCTTCTCGGGAAAATAGATTAATAATAATTAAATTTATATGGAGTAATTAGAGTAGAGGTATCATAATAATTCATAAGTCGTTTATTATTAATTATAGTCATCTGCTGTGTGTGATTTTTCTTTGAATAAAAAAATGAAACATCATAGGCAGACTTTAGACAATGTTTAGTGCTAAGAAAATGTTAAATTTATTTAGGTGTTTTTGAGGAAGTTGGAAATCTATGATAATTTACAGAAAACAGAGGGACTTGTGGGTAAAGAAGAAGGATATGTAGATAACAGACAGTATTCCTTCTCAAAGTCCAGTAAACAATATACAAAATCAGAGCAGAGCAAACACGGACCTCCGAAACATCAGAGGTGAGATCAGGTGCCATTGAGGAGTGAGCATCCCCTGACGACCGGTCACATCCGCCGTCTTCAAGTTGTCATTATAAGGAAATAATGGAAAAAATCCGTAGTCAATTCATTGTCTTAATAATGGACCAACACTTGGTATGAAATACGTCAGTCAGATTAAATATTAATTTATCTGGCCTACGTTTATCGACCCTTTTCACTTTCAAATTCGATTTGATAAGTAATTTCTCGGGATTTAGACTTTTTGAATAATATTTAGTTTAATATATACTCCCCGTCAATGAAAATGCAACACTCAAATTTTAGGATGAAAAGTATAAACGGGTTATAACTATGTACAAAAAAAGTTAGGACATCTTTTTACTTTGCCAAATCAACTATTTAACGGTTGAATGAATTTCTTTACTGTACCGGAAGTTGCTTTTAAGCCCTCTTAACAGAAAACAA